GTATGGGAGGTAAAGGTGACGGCGTCACGATGCCCGGCTTCCCGGGACGAGGCAGGAAGGTGAACGACTGACCCCATACGGCTTTACACGTACCGCCTCGCCGACCGCCCATCCCCCCTCCCCTACTCCAACCTCGACGAGCCGACGAGCCGTTGAGTCTCTGTCCTTGCGCGCCCCCGCGCCCTCCGCCGCCCCGCACTGACACACACCTCACACGCAGATAGACAAACCCGGCGTTCTGCTCTCAAAGGAAAAGAATTTTACAACAAAACTACCTCGCACGACACTGGATGGGACTGGCGCAAAAAAGAAAAAAATCGGAGGGAGGAGACCAGCGGGGGAGACTCCCCGCCAGCGGGGGAGACTCCCCGCCTATGCAGCACCCCAGAAAGGGGCTGCCATCGCCGAAGCTGTGCCTAAGCATAACTCCCAAACCCGCGGCGGCCCGGGGGGCCTTGGCGTTGGGGGCAGCCTAATAAATAGAATTCAACAAATAAATAAAACGGACACACCAAACAAGGGGTGGGAGAAGGACAGGGTCCCCACCTGCACGAGCAGGATCTTGTAAGGACGATCAGGGACACAGGGGAAATGGAGCGGGGAGCGCATCGCGACACGGAGGGGGGCTGGGCAGGGATCACCCACACGACAGGGTCCCAGGGATTCCTCTCTCGTATGGGACAAAGTTGCACCCGGCGGCACGGGGGCAGGCTCGGGCCTCCTACTGGTTACGCTCTCCTAGTTCTCCTGCTACTGACAAAAGGGACAGCGACAGGCTCGCAGCACGGTGGACTCCCTATTCCACCGGCGATCTCTCTCGACTAGCCGTTCGCTTGCGCGATTTTTTTTCCTGCTGAGGCGCCATTGCTTCGCGGCCGCCGCCATTGCTTCTCTCGACCTTTCTTCCGCTACCGACGTTGCAGTCCCATCAAAGCGCTTGTCCCACGATGATGCGCCGCTCCGCCTCCGAGACGGCCATCCCCGAGAGGTCGTCCGAGACCCACCGGGGGCCATCGCCGCACCGGCCGTCCTCGCCGCCAAACTCCATGCGCCGCTCGGCGTCGGGCGCGCTGATCGACGAGGAGCAGTTCGAAGAGCTGACTGCGGTCTTCGACCACTCTGCGGTAGGCAATCTCGCCACCTCCGTCGTAAGCTTTGTGAAGGACCACGTCCGGCACCCCGCAGTCGCGCCCGCCGCGCGGAGCCCGTCGCCCACCACGCACGCCAACCACCACCAGCCCACACGGCCGGTGTCGCACATCGACCTTGGCCACTACCACCCAGGAGCCCGCCACTACGCGTGGCTCAAGTGGGCCTCTTCGCACAGCGACTGGCGGCTCCACCTGCAGCTCTTCCTCGACGACCCGAGCCGCTCGCTCGCGGCGCGCGCCTTCTCGCTCGCCATCACCGCCGCCATCCTGGCGCAGGCGCTGCTGATGATGGTCGAGACGGGGTCGTGGGGCGCCGTCCCCGACGACTGCGCCACGTGGGTCGCCGGCTGGGTGCTCACCGCCTTCTTCTCGGTCGAGGTCGCCCCCCCTTGCCCCACCACCTCGGTTTTCTGGAGAAGCTTACCGTGCACGTCCCTTCCCTTGCCTTTCCTTAGCTCGTCCTCGTCACGATCTCCAAGCGCAACGTCTCAGAGATGTTCTCCTCGCCGTACTGGTGGGTGGACTTGATCTCGGTCGCAGCTGGGCCGCTCCTGCAACTCATGTCGTGAACAGCGCCTCTTCACACCTCCCGCCGTGAACTCAGGTCGTCCCCGACTGGACCGTCCTCGTGATTGACGCGGCGCGCGGAGCGGCGAGCTTAGTCAACCGGCCGGGCCTCCTCCTAGCTTTACAAGAGGGTGAGTTGACTTTCCCAGGCGAGCGGCAGCTCCATCAACGGCTGCGGCTCGGAAGCCGCCAGCGCAAACAACCCCGTCCAGGTCCCTCCCGAGGTGATGAGACGTGCGCCATGCAAGAAATCGGGGTCACGCGTTGTGTATACACTGCTCCGGCAGGTCGCCGGCGACATGCTGGAGGTGTTCCGCGTGGTTCGCATCCTCAAGATTGCGCGGTACAACCCCGACTCCACCGTCCTCTTCAAAGCCCTCTCCCTCTCGGCGCGCGCCCTCGCCGTCCCCGTCGTCTTCGTCCTGATCGGCGCATTCTTCTTCGGCGCGATGCAGCCGAGATGCTTCGCCTTTTCGATACCGCCGCGAGCATGTGTCGATTCCGCGCTGACATGTCGACCACGGCATCAGGCGCCATCCTCTACTACGTGGAGCACATCGAGCTGGTGATCCTCCGCGCCGACCGCTCGGGAGGCTCGCCTTTCGGCGACATCGGCGAGGCCATCTGGTGCGTGCTCGCCACACCTTTTCCACAACGAGATAGCACTAACAAGATGGCAACGGTAGCATGCGCTGATGCCAAGTCCAACTGATGCCAAGTCCAACTGATGCCAAGTCCAACTGATGCCAAGTCCAACTGATGCCAGGTGCATGCTCGTCACCTTCACCACCGTCGGGTATGGAGACGTCTCCCCGGAAGGGCACGCGGGCAAGGTCGTCGGATCAGTGGCCATCCTGGCAGGAGTGGTGCTGCTGGCGATGCCTCTCGCCATCGTCGGCAACAACTTTTCAAAGGCGTGGGAGGAGCGCTCCAAGGTGCAGCTCATCCTTCGGGTGCAGCGCACCTGCATCGACCGCAACATCTCCCTCAACGGCATGCTGCAGCTCTTCGAAGAGGCGGACACCGACCGATCCGGCTTCCTCGACTACCTCGAGTTCCACCGGCTGCTCGACGAACTCGGCCTCGACTACACCGCCTCGGAGGCGCCAGCACTGCCAGATCTCGACGAGATCTCCGACGACATCTCGGCGCTATCTCGGCTATCTCGGCCTCTTTGCCTCGCAGGCGCGGCGTCTCTTCCACCTCCTTGACGAGGGACAGAGCGGCGACATTACATTCTTCGAGTTTTGCCACGCCGTCTTCCCGAACCTCGACGTGGAGAGGCTCTGCGACCGAGGCACTTCCTGCACACTTCCTAGACACTTCCTAGACACTTCCTAGACACTGTGGAGAGGCTCTGCGACCGGGCTCTCTCGAGCACTCTCCCTCTCTCCCTCTCTCCCCTACCCTAAACCCTCTCACCCTCTCACCCCTAAGGCATCCTCCAGCTCGAGCACTCCTCCGCCGCCGCCTCCGCCTCCGCCGCCTCCGCCGCCTCCGCCGCCTCCGCCGCCTTCGCCGCCTCCGCCTCCGCCTCCGCCGCCGCCTCCGCCGCCCTCGGCTCTCCGACACGGTGCGGCAAGAGCGGGGGGGAGGGAGGCAGCCCCAAGCTGCCGCCGAGCTCGTCGCGCCTGCTCAAGTCCGCTACGAGGGCGATCATGATCACGGCGGGCCGCACGCGCCAACGCCCTTCCGCCCCCTCCTCCTTCGGCGGCTCTCGCGACTCGCTGCCCCGCGACTCCGTCCCGAGTGTCTCGGCGTCGATCGACGGGTGTGCTCGGCAGGGAGGGGACTCTCGCCCGCCCGCTGCGAACAGCGTCTCTTGACACCGCCAGCGGTGTGCAGGTCCGGCATGGACGGCTTCATCCGCTCGCTGCACTTGCACCGGCGAGAGCAGGCGCGCGCGCAGGGCCGCCGCACAGGTGGCCGCGCGCCCTCCTCCATCTTGAGCCAGTCCGCCGCCAACCTGCCCGCCGCCGGCGCGGTCCGCTCGCCGCTGCAGCGCCCCACGCCGCTGCAGCGCCCAAGCTCAGACATCGGCCTCGAGCGCTACCTCAAGCCGCGAGGCCGTACCGGCAACCTCTCGCCGCAGTGGCGTTCGTCCGACGGCGGCGACGCGGGCGCGGGCCTCTCGTCGGCGTCGGCGCAGCGCGAGGTGGTCGCGCTGATGGAGCGGATGCAGCGCCGCCAGGCGGCCCTCGCGTCCAGTGTCGAGCGGATCGAGCGCCACCTCGCGCGCGGGGGAGGCGGAGGCGGTGGCGGAGGCCGCGGCAGTGGTGGGGCCGCGGGCGGGTCGTCCGGCGACGAGGAGTCGGAGGAGGGAGGGTGGGACGTGGCGCGGGGGGCGCGGCTGCGGGGGGAGGAGCTGTCGGAGATGCCCGCCTTGCCGCCGTCGCTCACCTCGCCCGCAGCCGGTCCTCGGTAAAGGCTAGAGATGCCTGCCTCTCCGCCCATCGCGCTGATCTTCCACCCGCGTGCGGGTATTCGGTTCAGATGCCTGCGTCTCTACTAGACCACCATCTCAGGTGCGCGTCCCTGGCCTCTGAGAGAGCTCAGAGGTCTTTATAAGAGGGCTCCCGCGGCGATCAACACCGCAACTCCTTTTCTAAATTTCACCACGCTTCTTACGCGCGACGACGCTACAGCCTCCACCAAACCTCACACTTTTACTCACCCTCGGACATGCTTGCACCGTCATCCTGCGCGTCTGATGCGTCGCGCATCTGCTCGTCACCCTCTCCGTCACTCGCGTCGGCGGGCGACCGGGCTGTGGGTGCGGCCTGCTTCTTTCTTGCGCTCGCGGCGCCGGCGCCACGGCGCCGTTTGCGTCCGTCCTTTGCGCTTCGCTTGGCAAGCTCGCCCGCAAAGTACGCCGCGCGAGCGCCGACACGTCAACCCGCGTGTACGTCAGCGACGGGTCCCGCACGCCGCACGAGGCGCATGCGTGCAGCGGCAGCGCGTGCGCCATGCGCTCGTCGCTCCACTCGCCCAGCAGCCGCCGCTTCGTCTCGTCGGAGACGTGCACGCAGCGCTGCAGCAGCGCCGCCGTCTCGTCCTCGGGCCGCTCCAGGTCCATGACGACGTTCGTCGAGGCGTGGAAGCGCGTCTCCAGGTCGATGGCCGCCTGCTCGGCCGCGGCGAGCTTGCCCTGGTCGACGCACATGCCGCACACCGCGTGCGCCGGGCAGCCGCACTGGCCGCGTTGTGGGCGCACGGTCTTGGCGACCGCCGGCGCTGCGCGCCGGTCGTGCTGCTCACGCTGCCGGCGGCGCTGGTCGCGCGCCAGCCGATCGCGCGTGTTCGCGGCGGCTGCATCTCTTGCTCGTTTCGCTCGCACCCGAGCGGCTGTCGCCAGGCGCTTCAGGTCGGCGGTGCTGCGCGCGCGGCCGTCGGCCAGGCACAGCCACATGTCCTCCTCCTTAGCAGGCTCGCACGGCTTGCCGTCGAACTGCGGCTGGCGCCCGCGACAATGCTTCGCCCAGGCCGGGCACGATGGTGCCGCGACGAGCGGCGTCGAGGCGACGGCCATCGATGGGTCTAGAAGACTTGGAGACACTTCTCGACCAAAAAATCAAAAAAATCGAGCACAATTGCGTTACATGGGCATGGCCGGGGTTTCTGCACCGAACGATCTTACTTTCGGTCTATCGAAAGTGTTGATCGATAATGTCACCCTTATGTGCCGCCCACTTGCGTGCCATCTGGTGGGCAGGACCAGACCACGAACCATGTAGAATGTAGTTGTATGTTGTTGGTGGCATGTTCTTTTGACAAATGCGTGCCCCATCATCCGTCGCATCCGACGTGCGGGTCAGCTTGGGTGTTGGGAGAGAGAGAGAGAATTAGTGTGCATGCCGTGCCAGCGTCTCCGCACAGTTGGGGCCCTCCACTCGGCTTTAGGACCCCCGAACCGGAAGGGAGGTGTGGGAGGTGGGCGAAGAGGGTCGAGCCTCTCTCTCCCCCTTACCTAACGTAAGTCTTCGGCCCTTGAGCCTTGTCACACCCGAATCCCGAACACAAACACTAATCCCGACGTGCATGTGTGTCCGCCTCGCAGCCGCCTCGCTTCTTTGCCGCGCAGCCCCGCCGCCTAGCGGCAACAGGACAGCCTCCCCCTGCCCCGCCCCTCGCTTGCCTCAGACACACCGCCCCCCACGCCCCGCGAGACGCGAGGCCTCGTGCTGATTTTTTTATTGGCGTGGGCGCCATCATCTTACTTGTTGTTGATCAACACGACGCAGTGTCTCTCGATGAGATCGACCCCTTAATCGACGCTTAAAAAACACCTTTGGTGACACACACACACACACACACACACACACACACACACACACACACACACACACACACACACACACACACACACACACACACACACACACACACACACACGCACGCACGCACGCAGGTAGGCAACCAAAAAACCATTCAACCCAGTTAGGTAGGTAGAAAGGTGAAGACCAGCCAGGCTCGGACTGGACACCAACGCGGTATGGGTGGACGCTAGACAGATGATGACGACACGCACGAGCGACACACAGACACAAACAGCCTCCAGCCGCAAAAAAAGAAAACACCACGCTGCGACGGCGCCTGCTCGTAAGCTTCCTTCACAAGAATATGCACGATGACGCCTGTGTGTTCGCTGCCGCTGGACTCCTCTCTGCCGTCGCTTGCGGTCCTCGGCGTCTTTTCTGTCGAAAGCCACGGGGACCACGAATCTAAGCGAAATATTATTCGCGAAACTTGGCTGCCGAGCGTGGCGTCGAGCGGGCAGATCTCCGCCTTCTTTGTGCTTCGGGGGCAAGGCGCCAATAGCACGGTCCGCGAGGCGCAGCAGCACCGCGACATCATCTTCGTGGACGCGCCTGCGAAGGCGGATCGCAAGACAGGCCCGCTATACTCGCTGCTAAATTGGATGCGGTGCGCCGTGCAGACGTGGCCGGAGGTGTCGCTGGTCGGCAAGGCGGACGACGACGTATGGATCAATCTCCCCGGGACAGCTGAGCATCTGCGCGGCTCGCTCGCCCGACTGCAGGACTCGTCACACCTGGCGCCGCCTCGGATGCTCTGGGGCATCATGGAGACGTTTGGCTGGAACACCTCGTCGGTTTGACACTGTGGAGCGGACACGCACTCTCACACAGCCGCAACATAGCCTCACCGCCGCCCGCCCGCGCACGCAGGGCCGTCCAAAGGGCTTTTCGTACAAGTTCGGGTCGAGCCGGCGACGGCGGTGCCTACGGTACGGCGACGGCGGCGACTACCTCTTCCCTACGCACTTTGCGAAGGGTCCGATGTACTTTGTGTCGCGCGAGCTGGTCGAGCAGATTGCAAACAGCAGCGTGGTGCAGGCGGGGATGGACGCTGCGATCGGGTCCGCCGCACGCGGACTGCCCTGGGAGGACGTCTTCACCGGCTACTCCCTCTCGGAAGTCGCGCAGGGCCAGAACCTGGCCTTCGTTCACATGGGCGAGGTGGCCTTCTCCGAGTCGGGTTGGACACACACAGCGCACGCAAAGCTTGGCACTCACACACTGCTGTCACTCCCCTTCACTCCCTTAGGCCGCAGCCACTACTCGCACGGCGTGCGGAGCACCAGCCTCGTCTATCACGACAAATCGCTCGCGCGCTTGAGGGGGCACCATGCTTGGAGCACGGCGCACGAGTGCAGGACCGAGGCGAGTCAGATTCGAATCGCCTGCGACGACGGCCCGCACGTAGCGTGCAACAATGCCACGTGGCGGCGGTGCTACTACATTCACAACGGCACCCGCTGTCCCCCAGAACGCGCAGGAGCACGGAGGCACAGTTAGGCCGCCGTGATATCGCCCTTCCGGGCACCCCGTTTCGGTAGCCGTTTAGGGGTTAAGCAGCGGAGGTAAGGTAAGGTAAGGTAAGGTAAACTTCTCCACACACACGAGGTGGTGGGGCAAGGGGGGGCAACCCTCGCGTCTCCACGTCTGACGACAGGAGCCCCACGGCATTCAAAGTGCAAGGCCCAGTGCGCGTGGGTGAGCGGTGTGTGTGTGTGTGTGTGTGTGTGTGTGTGTGTGTGTGTGTGTGTGTGTGTGTGTGTGTGTGTGTGTGTGTGTGTGTGTGTGTGTGTGTGTGTGTGTGTCTCACGTCACTGCATCCTCCGCCGGTTCCTCCCGTCGCCTCTTCTTTGTTCGAATGTTTTTCAATCCATCCTTCACGAAGCCCTCCCATGTAGCTAGCGTTCTTGGCGAATGTCTCGAAATGGCCAGCAGGCGCTGTCTGCTCGCGGTCTGTGCGGGCCGCTCGTCCTCCTCGCCCTTCTTTCGTCCTCCCGTCCCTCCCCTCCACCATGGCCTTCTCGGCACTTCTTTCTCCATCCGCCTCGCCCTGCCTTTTCGCATCGTGCCGTTCGCCCTCCATTCGGTGACCTCCATGGCTGTCCGCCCCTTTTTGGGTGGCGCTCTCGATACGGTTGCGTCAACCTCGACGTCGCTGTCGCCCTCCCCGTCCCCGCCGGCGTCCGTGCCTCGGTTCGCGTCATCGGTAGCGTCTCCGTTGTTCCCTCGTGCCCCGCCGTCGCCCTCTCTGCTCGGGCCGTTAGCGATTTCGCTCCTCCTGTGTGTCGCCCCTCCGTCCCCTCCCCTTTCTTCGTCGTCATCGTCGCTGTCGCGAAAGCCCTCCGGTCCCTCGATTCCCTCGCCTATCCCCTCCGCTGCGTCGTCCCAGTTTATATCCTCATCCTCTGCGCACGTCGCGTTGGCTTCCTCTCTCCCCCTTTCCTCCCTGCCCCTCTCGCTGTCTGGTGTTAATGGACCCCCTTCCTCTCCCTCGCCACCGTCACCGTCTCCATCCCCGTCGCTACCGCCCTCCATGCCCGCCGCCCTTTGTTTCACACTCGTCTCTGCCATGTCCGCCGTCGCCGCCGTCCTGTCTGCTGCGCTCTGTGCTCCGTGGTACAGTCGCTTATTGTTGCTCAGGATTAGCTCACGCACCAGGACAGCCTCCTGCTCGTTATTTTGGCTTGCCGATATGCATCCAAAGTTCCACGCTAGCTCCTCCTTCGTCACGTCTATCTTTTTGCAGTATCTCGCGAATGCCGTCCGCGCTTGCTGGGGTGTTATTGCGTTCGGATCCGCCCTGGTCCCCGCCCTGTATCCCATCTCCTTGCGGTGGCTCCTGTATGAGTCCCCATATGACCATGTGATTTCTTGGCCTTCCTTGACTCCCCTCTCTGCAAACAGGACCATCACCTGCGCAGCTGCCTTGCCTAATTGTATCTCCTCGTAGCGTACGAAGTGCGTCGCCCTCGTGCCTTGTTTCGGCTCATTCGATGCTGCAGGCCAGTCGAAGTTACACCGCGCCGCGACGCTGTCAAAGTCGTCCCCGCTCTCGTCGTCACTTCCATCCAGCTGCGTCCCCCCTGCTGCCGTGTGTCGTGATAGTTCGTCTGGTACTGTCTCTGGTGGCTGCGCCGTTCCTGTCCGGAAGATCTCCCCAGTGTAGATGCTACACACCTCAAATTTCTCTAGCCTCCTCGTCGCCAGTAGGCCGAGTTCCCCTTCCGCTATGCTAGAGGGGCCTACCTTCGCCCCTTCCACCGTGCCGCCCGTCGTTAGCATGGCCGTCGTTACTTTCGCCGCCGCCTCTGCTGCTTGTCGGCGGAGCGCCTCGCGCCTTCCCTCGTCTCCATGCTCCTGGTCTTGTTCTTTTTGTTTTCCTGCGCTTCCTGTCGCTGGTCCGGCGACGTATCTTGCCGTCTGCCTTCGCTTCCTGGCGGGCCGCGTTTCCTTCCCCTCGTCCCGTTTGTTTTCTCCTGCGTGGTCGCCCTCGCGTGCGCCGCTCGCCGTCTGTTCTCCTCTCTGCTCGCCGTCCTCGTCCCCTCGCTGTCGTCGCTTCCCTCCGGCGCTCGCCGCATCGTCGTTCCTATCACCGCGTTTCCTGCGCTGGCCTTCGCCTTCGAGCTCGCAGTGGGTCGTTTTGAGTGTCATCCCCATCGCTCTCGTCGTTCTGCCTCTCCCCGCTTCGAGGCGTCTCTCTGCCTCTTCCCTTTCCTTCTCCTCGGCATCACGTTGTCGATGTCGCCTCCGTCGCCAGCAAATACACGCATTCGCCGCCCACTCCATTTCTCGTATTCTCCCCTTCCTTTCCTTCTGTCCCTCTCTCAGGCGGAGGTGTGCCGAGGGGGACCGGGAGGCGGTAAGTCGTCGTCGCCCGGCGCTGCTTGCAGCACCGTGGCGATGGCGCTAAAGAGGTTCCTCTTTTCCGCGCCCCCCCCCCGCAAGGCGCGCGATACACACGAGACAAGAGAGCTGTGAGGACTCGAAAATCTCTCGACAACTGTGGTCGAGAGTCTGGATCTCGTCAGTCAATCAGAGACAGTCGTTTCTCACCGTGCGATTGCTGCTGACTTGCTTCACGCTCTGGCCTGTCGGTACTGCACAGAGTGTCAAAGCTCGCGCCGGCGCCACAAGTGCCTGTGCGGCGGCGCCGGCGCCGGTCTCCTCTCACGTGCAGACAGGGTGAGGGCCCACGCAGCCAGCCCCTGCGTTGCAAAGGTTGGTGCTATCAGCCGGATGTCCTCCGCAGCTTGCCCGGCACGTCCTGCACGTCGAACTCGGTCGCGAGGAAGGCCACGTCGCGCGAGACCTCCTTCAGGCGGTCGAAACGGCCCGACGCGCCCGCGTGGCCCGCAGCCATATTTGTCTCGAAGACGAGCAGAGGCTCATTGACAGCGCCGTCCGGGGCTTCCGCCTTCGCCGCAGCGACCCCGGCGCGCAAGCGCGCCACCCACTTTGCCGCCTCGTAGTACCCGACGCGGTAGTCCGAGAGGCCAGCGGTGGCGAAGAGGGAGGGGAAGACGCTGCCCGGCTTGGCCAGCAGGAAGTCTTTGACGAAGCCGCAATTCTCGTACGGGCAGTACGAGCGCATGTACCTGTAGCCGAGATGGAGCCGAGATGGAGCCGAGATGGAGCCGAGATGTAGCCGAGATAGAGCGGCTGCCCGGCGTGGTGAGAGAGTCGCGCACTCGAAGTAGTGCCTGGACGTGTCAGGGAGTGTCTAGAGAGAGGCGCGCACTCAAAGTAGTGCTCCTCCCTCGGGTTGCCCCACTCCTTGAACTCGCCGGGCGTCAGCGGCAGGTCGCCGTCCAGCATCGTGTCCAGGACGGTCACGAAGGGCACGTGCGCCACGATGGCTTTGAAGAGCGCCGGCCGCATGTTCAGGCAAGCACCGACCAGCATGCCGCCGGCGGAGCCGCCGACAATCGCCACATTCCCGGCCGAGGTGAACTTGTCGTCGGCGAGCTTGTCGGCCACGGCGATGAAGTCGAGAAAGGTGCGCTTCTTGGAGAGGAACTTGGCCGCCTGGTACCACGGCTCTCCGAGGTCTAGGAGGTGTCAGAGAGAGCCAGGAAGTATCTAGAGAGAGCCGCCTGGTACCACGGCTCTCCGAGGTCGCCCCCCCCTCGGATGTGGGCGGTGGCGACCACGAACCCGAGGTCGGCTATAGGCAGCGCGGGAGGCACTGAGCGGAGGCAGGCGGGAGAAGGTTCGGGCTGCAGAGGCCTGTGCCATACAGGGTGTGCGTGTTCCTCCACACCGGCTCCTCGGAGATGCCGTAGGAGCCGTACCTTGTGTTGAGAGTGAGAGACTCATTCGCAGCAGTGAGGCTCCTCGGAGTGCCGTGCGAGCGTCACCCCTCGAGGAGCAGCGGCATGGAGCCGTCCTGCCTGAAGAGGCTCTTCTTGTACAGGACCGTCACCGGGACGCTCACGGCGGAGTCGGCGTACTTCGGGTCGTCGCTCGCGTGCAGCGTCTCGTGCAGCGCGAGCGACTTGTCCTAGGAAGTGTCTAGGAAGTGTCTAGGAAGTGTCTAGGAAGTGTCTCGTGCAGAGCGAGCGACTTGTCCTCGGCGTAGCGCGCGTAGAGGCGCTCGGTGTGGTACTCCGAGGGGTCGTAGTTGGGCACCTGCAGCGTGCACAGGCTCATGTCACGTGCAGGCGAAGAGAAGACTTTGCGAGAAGACTCGGCGGGGCCAGGGAGAGGGGAGGGGACGGGGAGGCACCAGACACAGTCGTGCTCCAGCACCGCCTTCTGCTCGCTGTGGACAATCTCGGACAATCTCGGCCGTAGTCTCGGCTATAGTCTCGGCCGACCTCGGCCCATCTCGGCCAATCTCGGCTAATCTCGGCTAATCTCGGCTGTAGTCTCGGCTGGTCGCGGCGCCTCCTTCTGCTTTCGGACGGGCAGCACGCCCTCGCCACTCGCCTGACCGGGCATGACGTGGACGTGGACATGGACGTGTCCTGGACGTGTCCGCGGCGCGTCGCACGCGGGCTCGCCCCTCGCCTCCCAGTCCCAGTCGTACCAGGTCGTCGGCAGCGAAGGCGTGTCGAGCACGACAACGACCGAGTTTGTCGAGTAGTCTGTCGCGCCCGAGAAGGCGGCCGTGTGCGAGAGCGCCTCGGGGCGGCGAGGGGGGGAGGGGGCTAGAGGATGCATTGTGTGGTTCGCCGACTCATCTCGAGGCGTGCGAGGGGCGCCTCGGGGTCGGCGATGCCGGGGAAGGAGACGTGTCTAGGAAGTCTAGGCAGTGTCTAGGCAGTGTCTAGGCAGTGTCTAGGAGGTGTCTAGCAAGTGTCTAGGCAGTGCCGCCTCGGGGTCGGCGATGCCGGGGAAGCGGACCCGCCTGCAGTGCTCTGCTCGCGGGTGCAGCTCCTGCGCGGAAGTGGGGAAGCGTGGCGGGACGCACAGCTGGGAGACGCACCTCTCCTCCCTTGCAAGCCCTCCCTTGCAAGCCCTCCCTTGCAAGCCCTCCCTTGCAAGCCCTCCCCCCTCTAGGGCTCCTCGCCAGCGGGTCGAGGTCGGCAATCTCGGGCCATCTCGTGCCATCTCGTGCCGCCTCGGGCCACCTCGGGCCACCTCGGGCCACCTCGGGCCACCTCGTGCCATCTCGTGCCATCTCGGGCAATCTCCGCCTCCGGGTCGAGGTCGGCCTCCGGATGGTCCGCGCGCTGCACGACGAGGAACGGGACGCCTGCCGACCAGCAACAGCAGAGTCAAGACGGGTGGCTGCTCTCCTTCGCTGCCTCGACGGGGAGGGGAGCGCCGGTGGCGACGTCGAGGTAGGAGAGGAGCAGCAGGTCCTGTTCACAGGAGGAGCGCTGTGACGAGGCGCTGCCCTTCCCGAAGGAGGCAGCAGAGGCGCAGCCAGTCCTTGGTCGCGCCCATGCCTTCGAAGGCATACTTCCTCTTCTCGGCGATGTGGGGCGCCCACCGCACCTCGCTCCTCCCGCCGTCCGCCCACTCGCCCCGCTCCAGCCGAAAGTGGTCCCGCTGGCAGCCCGCCTTTGTGCGCATGAACCAGTGCGGCCCGCTCTTGGAGACAGAGTACTCGACGTCGTCCGCCATCGGAAGCAAGTTGACCTGTTCACAACGAGAGGTGTGAAGAGACGCGTCCACACCCCGAGCCGCGCTCGGCAGCACGGCTGACCAGCCGCAGCTCGCCGTCGGCCACGTCGATCGCAAGCACCTCATTCTCCGTCTTGCTGCTGTGCCGCACCGTGACGAACTCCTTGTCGGCGGTTGTGCCGACCGACACACCGAACATCTCATTCTTCGACTCGAGCAGCAGACGGTCGTTTGGAGCAAAGTCTTGGCTCCCATCGGTCGCGTCTCCGAGCCGGTGGTAGAAGACCTTTGTTGGGCGGAGGTTCCGGTTGCGCAAGGAGTAAAAGACGCCGACGGGTGGCGCGCCCGTCTCCGCCGCGTCGGCAGGCTGGTGGAAGCAGTAGCTCGCGACGTTCCACAGCTGGTCGGGCAGGTAGTCGCCTGCCGATCAGTCCACTGAGTGAGCAAAGAGCGGGCTCGCGACGGTCCGACAGCCGGTCGGGCAGGGGGCTCGCCACTCTCGAGCGAGACGAACTGCAGGCAGTAGTTCTCGTCGCCCTGCGTGTCCACGCGGTACGCCATCACCTTGCCGTTGAGGGAGACGGTTGTGCCGAGCGCCTTGCAGAACGCCTTGCCTTCGGCGAGCTTGTTGCGGTCGAGGATGACCTCCTCGGCGCCGCGCAACGCGGCGTCCGGCACGGGCCCGCTCTTTTTGAGCGCGTCGAATGCAGCGAGCGGCACACGGCAGTCGATCGAGTACTGCAGCTCCTCCTCCGTGCGCGAGTAGTAGTAGTAGCCGCCGTGCCGCACCTCGATGGTGCGGTCTGTCAGCTTCATCCGCCCCTTCATCGTCTGGAAGAACGCCTCCTGCAGACCGCCCAAGCTCGCCAGGAAGTCCTTGCAGTACGCGTTCTCCGCCTCGAGGTGCGCGATGATGTCTTCGTCCTCGACCAGCTTTGGCCACGCCTTGCCGCGCAGCCACTGGTACTCGTCCTCGAGCGTGTGCTTGACGCCCGCGACCTCCACCACCTTTTCGCAAGCGGCAGAGTGTCACTCTTCGACTGGCGCGCTACCTAAATTTTCCGAGCTACGCGTGGTCAGAGACGTGAGATCGGCGGCACCTGCTGTGACGGCACCACTTTCGCCACCGGAGCGCCGCCGGCCGCGAGCATGCCCGCGCGGATGTCTGCCGCGCTGAGGACGACCATCGAGCGATGCGGTGGGCGCGAGGACAATGCTCTCAGGCACGAGCGCGCAGCTTCGCAGCGGAAAATCGTTGGGCCAGCTTTTCGGATCGTCACAGCGTCAGGGTTCGAGGCGCGGGGGGGGTAGGGTGACCTGCGCCAGGCACAGCAGCGCGTGATAAAACGCGCCCGTCTTTTTGACTCG